AAAAAATTTCACACTTATTTTTTAATTGAATTTTAATCCACTTTGGAAGCCTACTCAATTCATACTGTTACAGAGGACTCCAAGTAAAGGCAAGGAAGAAGAAAAAAAATGTATCTTAAGAATGGAGCACATCTAAATTATGACAAAATTCAGTGGGCACTCAAAGGACTGTTTAAAAAAATATGCAATTAAAATTTATCCTTAAAATTGTTTTTAAACACAGTTGCTTAATAGGACATACTGGCAAGAATAAATATATACATATACCAGGGGTGCCAAAAAAAAATGTATACAAGTGGACACTTTGGTCAGTGTGGCTCAATCAGTAGTTCGCCATAATCAGAAGTGTCTGGATGCTGATGGTAACCACTTTGAGCACCTCTTGTAATTGCAGAAGTCAAGTGTGACTTGTATTCATCTTTTGTTATCAGTATATATTGAGTGTTACAATTTTAATACAGTTTTCCTGTCTTAAAGTATGTATATATTTTTGACACCCTATGTACGCATACACATACATACACACACACATATGCAGGGGTGCCAAAAAATGTATACACATGACTTGTATTCATCTCTTGTTATTGTATATATTATTACAATTTTAATACAGTTTTTTCATTTCTTAAAATGTATATATGTTTTTTGGTATCTTCTGTATGTGTGTGTGTGTGTGTGTGTGTGTGTGTGTATGAGGAAGAGGTACTTTTTTTCTATTTACACTCTATTGTAATTAACTACTTACTTATCTGGCTTCCTCATTACCCTATGTAGTAACACATACTTAGTGATTCTCAATCTTGGCTGCACATAAACATCACCTTGGACAGTAACCAAAATATCATGGTATTGACATAAAAACAGACACATAGATCAACGAAACAGAATAGAAAGCCTAGAAATAAATCCATGCCTATATGGTCATTTAATCTATGACAAAGGACACAAGAATTTACATTGGGGTAAAGACAGTTTATTTAATAAATGGTGCTGGGGAAACTGGACAGATACATGCAAAACAATAAAACTGGACAACCTTCTTACACCATATACAAAAATAAACTCAAAATGGATTAAAGACTTAAATGTAAGACATGAAACCATAAAACTCCTAGAGGAAAATATAGGAAGTAAATGCTCAGAAATTACCCTTAGTAATATTTTTACTGATGTATCTCCTTGGGCAAAGGAAACAAAAGAAAAAATAAACAAGTGGGACTATATCAAACGAAAAAGTTTTTCACAGCAAAGGAAACCATCAACAAAACAAAAAGATATCTTACTTAATGGGAGAAGATATTTGCCAATGATATATCTGATAAGAGGTTAATAGTCAAAATTTATTTAAAAAACTCTTACAACTCAACACCAAAAAACCAAACAATCCAATTAAAAAATGGGTAGAGGACATGAAGAGACATTTCTCCAAAGAGGACATACAGATGGCTAACAGACATATGAAAAGATGCTCAACGTCACTAATCATCAGAGAAATGCAAATAAAAACCACAATGAGCTACCACCTCACTCCAGTCAGAATGGCTATCATCAATAAATCAACAAACAACAAGTGCTGGTGAGGATGTGGAGAAAAGGGAAGCCTTGTACCTACCCTGTTGATGGGATTGCAAATTGGCACAGCCACTATGGAAAACAGTATGGAGGTTCCTCAAAATATTATAAATAAAACTACCTTATGAACCAGCAATTCCACTCCTGGGTGTTTACCCAAAGAAATCTAAAACACTAATTCAAAAAAAAATACGCACCCCTATGTTTACTGCAACGCTTTTCACAATAGCCAAGATATGGAAACAACTGAAATGCCTATCAGTAGATAATAGGATAAAGAAATTGTGGTATATTTATACAATAGAGTATTACTCTCCCATAAAGAATGAAATCTTACCATTTGTAACAACATGGATGAAACGAGAGGATATTATGCTAAATGAAATATGTCAGACAGCGAAAGACAAATACCATATGATCTCACTTATATGTGGAATCTAAAGAATAGACTAAATGAGCAAACAAAAAGAAATAGACTCATAGATACAGAGAAAAAACTGATGGTTGGTAGATGGGAGGGGGGATGGGAGATGGGTGAGAAAGGTGAAGTGATTAGAAAGTACAAATTGGTAGTTACAAAATAGTCACAGGATGTGAAATACAGTATCAGAAATAAAATCAATAATGTTGTAAAGATTATGTAGGGTGTCAGAAGGATACTGGACTTATCGGGGGGATCACTTCATAGATTATATAAATGACTAACCACTGTGCTGTGCACCTGAAACTAATGTAAAATAATATTGAATGTCAACTATAAATATATATTTTATATATATATATATATATAGTCATAGGATATAAAGTACAACATAAGGAATATAGTCAATGGTATTGTAATATCTGTGTATGGTGTCAGAGGAGTAGTAGACTCGGCAGGGGTTCCCACTTTGTGAGGGGTGTGAATGTCTAATCATTATGTTTTGTATAGCTGAAACTAAATAAGAATAATAATAATAAAAGAATCACACTGGAAGCATTTTAAAAATACAATGTTTGATTTAACTGGCCTAGAGGATGAATCGTGGACATTAATATTATTTCAAAGCTCCCATTATGATTCTGATGCGAAGTTTGGTTTAAGAATCACCAGTGTAGGGTACTTGTAGCACAAACTCTGGCACAAAGTAGGTATTAGAGAAACATTGCTTAGTAATCATAAATGACATAATGAATATTTCCTCTATAAAAAATAGTCCAGATTTTAACCTTCACAGGTACATCACCTTTTACTGAAGAACTTAATAAAGCAATTCACATCCTATGAATGAACAACATCCATATTTGTGCCACTTTAGATTATAGTATTTAGTTTTCAACTCTTTGAAAGTGCGCATTTGGACCCATTCATTGCAAACATCTCAATGCAACTTAATTTTTCGCAATGGATTCTCTAGCAAATCAGTGAGCTTTCATGCTATGGGTATACTAATATCATTCTGTATCTTTAATTAATGGTAAGCTTGAGATGGAGCAGACAATTGTGTCTGTTACCTTATAATTATGTTAAAGCAAAAGTATGTGTTGTACCTGTGCATACTTAAAAAATGATTTTTTTTTACCACAGTTGTGCAGATTTTAACTCTGCTTTTTCTAGAAGTCCATTTTTTTTTTGTACCAACACTCATTATTGGGTACATTTTGAATAGGGCATGTTTAGTGGTTAACTGTAAATGGTTGATTCTATCCACTTCACTTTTGAAGTTCATCATTGAACATGTTTTGTATGAAGGTCAAAAGAGATAATTTTTTTCCATGAATTATCTTCTATCTTGAGTAATTCTCCACTGAAACCATATCTACTTTTTCAAAGTTCCAATGAAAGAATATTCTACCAAATAAGGTTTTCTAGGGAGCTGGGGAGGAATCTCACTTGTGTATAACAGTACAATGAGGATATCTCCAATGATTCTGTTATCTACGACAGGCCTCCCTAGATAAATTACAGAAAGGGAATTGAGCAAATTGGTGACATATGCTGTATCTTCTTTGATAAAGCTGAATTTTCTAATTGACTTTTATATTTTTACTTACTTGTCATAGTCAGAAGTTTTATAAGAACAAGGACTATGACAGTCAACTTCTATCACAGGAGAGCCCACTGCATTCACCTGGCATCTAATTAAATGCTTATTTAATTTATGAAATGAATGAGTGACAAAAAACTGTCCAAAGATTAGCATGGTGGAAAGGCTCATATGAGCCTCAAAAATCAACATCTAATAAAAAGATTTAAAGGTTCAGTGGATACTAATCCCCAAATGGGGTTACGGATCAAAATTTTCTGAAGAGCGTTTTAAAAAAACATGAAAGTATTATGCCCAAATTTGTATTTCTTGAAAGAGAATCTTGGAGGTGGTAGTGGGGGAAGAAATGATGGCAATAATCCCCTCTCTTCCCCCACGTGATTCTTATGTAGCCAACTGGGCAAAAGTCTGTGGTCAAGCCTTTGGGAAACACTGTATAATGGAATGTACACTGGACAAGGAAATAAGAAACTTGGGCTCTCATCAAACCTCTGCCACTGAATTATCTGGGACAACTCATTTAACCTTGACAAATTTCAGTCTCCTTAATGAAGCTCTTCATTTTTAGATAATTTCTCCAGTGCTTTGTAAGATCCATTGGTACCTAATAGATAATGGTTCTATTAGTTTTATCTTGCATGACTTCCTAAAGCAAACCTCTCAGTGAGGAGTAAAGAAGTAATAAATGATTAAATAACACAGAACATCAAGCTGTATCCGCAAATAAAAAATTCCTAGCACAGCTGGGACTAAGCTGTATGTAGCACCAGGAATTTGCGCACGTGTATACAAGTCTTTACATCTAGGTGTCTATCATCTAGGTTATCTCCATCAATGGTCAACAAATTACAAAACCCTGTGGCTGCTCATTGGTTCTTACCATTTCAAAAGTATGTTACCCACAAAGATATCTACTCCTAAACATTAGTACAAGAGATTTGCAAACTGGTGTCTTCTCAAGCACCATTTTGATGTTCTAATAGTTCTTCATAGTCAGAGATTAGGAGAGTCTACTTCAGCAACATTTTCAATTTCCTGATCATTGGCTTTATTCATTACATATGTATGCTGTATTTATGCCTAGATCTATATTCCTATATCTAATAGTTATTAACTAAAGTGCCTAGTGTCTGGCATGAAAGAGAAATTTGAGAGATATTTGTTGAATTAATATAAGAAGCAAGAAAGCAAGAGAAGGAGTGAGAGATAGAAAGGAAAGTTGTGCTTATTTTAATGAGGATAATGAAGTTTTCCAAGTTAGTGGACACCAAATAATCCATTTCCATGAGCTTATGAATCTCCCATAGGGGCATGTATTGGGGCATGTACACTTCCCTTGAATGTGAAAAAACATGACATTTAGCAGAACTTTCAAAATTAATTGTGCAAGGAATGGCTCACCTTTTTTTAAGCAGAGGTTTTCATTGACTCGTTTTCCCTCCTTGTTGACATCTATTTTCATCCAGCTATGGAGGTATTTCCTGCCCTTCTTGACCACTGCCTTGTCGCCTTGCTTCTTGAGAAAGAGAGAGGTATTTTCCACTTCAAGGAATCCTCCCTTCTCATCGCAAGTCCATCTGGGTGCCTGGGAGCAGTGGACAAAGATGGCTGATCGGGAAGGACCACCAGAAGAATTGGAGATGCCCAGGCACAGTGCAGATTTCACATGAAGGAGCTTTCCATTCTCAGTCCACATCCACTGCTGGTTCTGGTTGGTCCCGTTACACAAGCCCATGAACACTGTATTCTTTTTGAAAAGGCACTGTTGTTTATGGATATGGACAATCTGAAACCCCTCTGGAAGATGAAAAGCTCATATAGTACTGTGTTGCAAATTGCAAGGCCCATCAGAAAACAAAACAATCCAACCACAAATCGGCCAAGTAAAAATACGAGGTTTATCTTTTGCTACAGCTACCATTTCAAATGATTATTCCCAGATTCAACACATGTGGCTTAAAATCCCAAGGCTGACAATGTAAAAATGTAAAAATGTCACACTTGGCTCTCTTTCTTTTACTTTCACATGGTGTAGAGAAGAAAACACACCCCCATTGAAATAATAAAAGGAAGTTTGGAAAAGAAACAAAACCATCTAGCGACTATGGTGTGATGTATTAGTCCAATTAGTTAAACATGCTGAAGTTATGAAAAGCTCAGTTTCCTTTTTAACCATTTTACTGTTTTCATCTCACCTCCGGTTCCCATCTTAAAAAGTACCCTTTTTTTGCAATCCTTAAGTTATCATTGCAATAAATATTTGCATACAGATTACAGTTTGAATACAAATTTAAAAATTGGACGTATTTACCCCATAATAAAACAAACTTTTCACCCTCTTCCTAAGCACACCCTCCTTCCTCACAGCAAACCATGAAAGTATTGATTATCACAAATTAAATTTCTTCTAGTCCTAGAGAGAAGCATTTCTCTATTTTGCGACAATATCTACAATTTCCCCTCAAACACTAAACAGATTAAAATATCAGCATTTCTTGACGTAAGAAAATTAAATACCCGATTGCTAAACATCAGTGTTAAAAAGTGAGGTATTCAGGCTCAGAAACCATTTTCAGTGTGCTTTCACTTAATTTGCCCAGCTCTCCCATGAAAATATTCAGACCTTCCTGCCAAATAATAACTTCTAAATAAAACACATTGTAATTCTTCATCCCCTTTGATTATATTTCTTATATTTTCTTTCTTTAACTTTCAGACACAAAAATACAAAATCATAACCTAATTGGAAAACAGCATGGAGAATGCCCCAGACTGTTACATAATACTAAAAAGTTTCTCCTCAGGATGCCTTACTGCCTGCTGTAAAGATGCCATTTCAGGGGCTGCCCGAGGCATTTGGAGGACATGAGGAGGCCATTTATTTTCTTTTGGAGAGTAATTTCAACCTATGTGGACAGAGTTGGCTCTTTTTATTCCCCCTCTTCATCGTCTTTGACTAAACTGCCATGGAGACCTGGCTCCATTTCCGCCTATTTCAGACACTTTTCAAAGGACAGAATCTCCTCTGCTGACTATTGGAGAAATGCCTCGAGACACAGAGGCAGGCCCACTCACCTGAGTTCCCGAAGACCAAGCAGGTAAGAATCGCCATGTAAAATTCAGCCTCCATTTTCCACTTAACCACTGCTCATGCTTCGCTTGGGGGAAAAAAAATTCTCCCAGATAAGAGAAGCAAAGACCAGGGAAGGAAATGTGCCTTCATGGTGGGGGGAAAAGTCAGTGACGAGCACTTCCTCCTATTGAATTGTTTGGGGAAGTTTTACACCAGTGTCCTTTTGTCTGTTTCCTTAGAAAGAAAGGATTATGATTACCTCTCTTTTTCTTTTTTTTTTATGTAGAAAAAAATTCCAGCCTCCAGGAGCAGAATAAAATTCTGTAAGTTTTCTCCTACCACCCCTACCATCAGCACAGAGCTACTTCTTAACCTCAAGAGGGAAGGAAAAAGTTGTAATCTTAGATAATTGAATGTTCCTACAACATTACATCTCTTCAGGTGATGTGATTCTGCTGAAAAAACACAAATCATGTGATTTATGAGGGTCTATGACAAGCAATATAAAGACATAAACACTTACTGTTCCTATAATGATATGCTGGGAATCTATTGAGGAAAACCGCATAATGATGGCACTTCTAGATCATTATCTCTCAAGTGATGACAATAGGTATTACATTTGAGATAGTCATCTCCACTGGGGAGAGGCAGAGACTAAAAGTAAACCCATCACATTATCTACTTCAGACTTCCACCCACAAGATAATAGCCTCTCTCCAAATAGGAAAAAAAAAGTACAGACTTTACTCAACATTTAGTATTAAGATTAGTTTATTGGCAGTATGAAACAAAGTTAACATAGCTGCATTAAAAATTCATATGTGAGCAGAACATCTAGTGTTTGCTGAGTGTAGTTTTTTTTTTCCTTAACTTTATTTATCTGTTGAGGATTAAAACCTTTCAGAAATGTAAGGATATCCATGATAGCATCCTTTTGAAGAACCTCTGAAAATGTGACAGGTTACATCATTCCCCAAAGCAACTGCCTTGTATTGGGTGAGAGATTCCAGGTAGATAGCATATTCAAAAACTCCTTCTTAATAAAAGAGAGACAAGTATTTAAAATTCTTTATACGTCAGAGTTGCTACAAATTGTTTTTTCCCTTTTAAAGCAAAACGACTCACATTGTAGAAATACAGTGGATAGAGCTCTGGAGCAGAAACCACCCCTATGCCCAATAATAGAGAATAAATACATATATACCCAAAGACAATCATTGTGCTCTGTAATGGATTGATAAGAGGTACTGATAAATATATAGTTCATAGGCAATATTATCAAGACACATTTCCATATAAAATAGTTACTGATTTTTTTTTTTCAAAAACAAGGACTTATTTGTTAAAAATCCATTATTGATCACTTGCAACTTTAGCGGCAAGATTCTGGTAACTGAGAAAGGTAATAGCACTTAAAACAAGAACAGTGTTACAGCTGACAGTCCATTCACAAGACAGATTTTGCAAACGTGAAAGCATCTAAACACATAAGAATCATTCCTTCAGCAGCTCTTCCTGTCGTCCTCTGATGACATATATCACTGAGTATTTCATACATACATTCTGTGTAGCAGATAATCAATACAGACAGAACAAAATCCTGCTGAGCTGTGCAAGAAATCTATCATACTTCCATCAGCATAGGACCTTCAAAATAATTTAGGGGTGCTTGCAAATGCATTCATATACACAAGGGGCTGGCAGTCTTTACTACAATATGTTACCATCTTCCATAGTCCATGCCACAGCTTGGCTTCAGGGCTTCTCTTTCCTTCCATCGCAGGAAGCTCCTTGTAGAAGCCTCAAGTGGGTGATTGATTAATCACCCCTAGAGATTGATGGTCTGGTGAATCTTCAGAGGCTCACTGGACAGTTTCTGCCGAAAGTCTGCTTTCGTACAGACACAGAGCATGATGCACAAATTCATACTGCTCACCGGTTTGGACCATTCCACCCCTGCAAGGAAGAGATAATCCAGTAACTTCTTATTGCTAACATCCTGCAATCTCAAGTCACACAGAGCCCACATGCAAGCTAGGCTGTCATGCCAAAGACACACAGGACAGGCGACCTGGTGATTCTTTGGTTCTCTCTCTTATGTGTCCAAATGACCCAACTGGTGAACTTAATATGCTAATGTATATAAAAGGATTAACACAGTGCCTGGTACACACTTGGCACCTGATTAATTTTACCTACATACCATTACTGGGGAGGCAGTATAGCCTAATGGGTAAATACTTGGGGCTTGGAATTAGCCAGGCTGTCTGAATTCAAATCTCTCCTCTGCTGAGCATTCCTTCCAATTGTTGACACAATGTAGTCTTTCCAGGAGGGAGCAGTCTACACAGCAGATGGTCAGCTAGTTTCTGCGGGAATGCTCATGGGGAGAAGGACCTTTAGAGGCAGTCTTTTCCAAGGCTGGCAGGAAAGCTTTTGAAGACATCAAAATGAATTGGCCCCTCTCTTAACTTTCACCCCATTGGTTGAACTGAAATAACCCAAAAAAGTCTTAAGGTTTCTCCTATAGTCACACAATAGCTTTCTAAATGCTGGAAAACAACCATCAAAGTCCCATAATATTTCCTTCTCTAGACTAAACATCCTGTGATCACTCAACATTTCTATCCAGCCTGGTTTCCCTGTTACTCACCAGTCTAGTCTCCCTCTTCTATAGGCTATTTGATCAAGTATGACCTTCTTAGAGTGTTGTGTCTACTCCTGTCAGTGGGAATATTTTCTCCCTTGAGCTGTACATTGTTGGACAATTAGTTTGCGTTTGCAGGTGCATTGGGTGGTAAGATCCCACAGTATCCACCTGGAGCCCAGTACTGAGCAGGCATTTTAAGATATTGAATGAAGGTGTAGGTTAACGAAAAAGTGCAGGATGTTCTGAATGTGAAAGTTTCAGCTCTCTCCTCTCTTGAACTTATGCTACTGAATTTTTGAAACTAAATGCAGGACGTTCCATTTATTCCTGTTAAATTTACATCTCGATTTTAGCACAATGTTCTTGTTACTGATGTCACTATTTCTATCATTCAATATATCAGCCTTCCATTTGTCACTCTCAGCTTTGTGTCTTCCAGATATTTGACAAGCATGCCTTATACATCTTTTCATTTGTCATTTATAAAGGAGTAGAAAAAGAGGGGGCCAAGGTAGGGTCTTTATTGTAAGTAATTTGACATCATGTTATATATTGTCAGATACTCTTTCCAAAATTGTTTCCAACTAGGTGATAGGTCCTGTAGGGGCAGGCATCATGTCACAGTCTTCCCATATTTGCAACAGTGAAAAGCACAAGTCCTAAGTAAATACATGTCATGTAGGTTATCCAGGCCATGCCACTTTCATGTCACATGACAGCAGATAAACTCCAGGCTAAAAAAAGGCAAAGGGCTTCTCAATGATGCATTCAATGGTGGCTGATTCAAAGTAAAAAACTTGTCATTAGCACCTTCGAAGGTGTTTAATAACTGGCTATTTGCGTATATAGAATACTCTGTTGATCCCTATAAGAACTTAAAATCAAAGATTACCCTGGAGATTTTACTCCATTTTGGGAGTGAAATAGGTTTGGCCATAGTAAAAAAAAAAAAAAAACCCGAGAAGCTAATATAGTGCCTGTGTACAAAATACTTATGGAATAAATGAACCGTGTTAGATTAATTATGGAACTATCAGGAGAACCCTGTAATAATTCACCCTCTAGGAAAGCTCTGATTTTGCTCCCAGGAATCTTTCAGGTCAGACAGGGCTTCATGGACTTGCTGAAGATCTAAATCACTGACATAAAATTCTTAATGCAAGCTGGTCCTCAAAGGTAAGAAGCAGGGATGTTTTTCTTTCTTTTTTTAAAAAAATGTTAAAAGGTATCATCCAACTCCCTTTTAAAGATGAGGCACTAAAACAATCCTTGACCTCCAATAGATCATAGGTTAAGCTCAACCAAGGTTAATATTTTAAGAAATTTTCCTATTGATTAAGATGATATTTCAATAGAAAAGGCTTATGGGGCCCCAAACAGCTGGACCATCATCAGTGAGGCAGCAGCTTGGACATCACCACAATTACTCAATACATTGTAGCAAGTATCCTCCATCCTTGGAGAACCCCCTAGATACAAATCTGTTTTCCCAGGAGGTATAACACATTAAGCTACAATACCTACTGCCTGGCAAGAGTTAGTTTATCAAAAAAGAGTAAGGTCATATAAAAACAGGGCAAGGGACCCCAGTTAGCTGTGAGCGTGGTCATGGGTTGGAAAAGGGTTATAATGCTGAGGCATCAGGTTCATTTCCACAGGGACCTAAGTGTGTTCAGAGGGAAAACACTACACACACTGTTGTCAAGACGAATCCTGTCTTTACCACTTATGAGCCGCTTTCCCTTATTATGTCATCTTTATAGTGCTCAGTTTTCTCATCTGCACAATGAAGAGGCAATAAAATAATAGTGCCTACCAACCACATAGCACTGCTGTGAGAAATAAATGGGACGATCCATTTCAAATGTTTCGCTCGTAACAGACACCATATTGTTAGCTATTTCTCTTGTACTGTTGCTCTTTGGTGTTATCTAGTCAAACAGAGCTGGTTGGAAGGCCTTGGGATGAGGCCTCTGAAGGCCTCGGAGAACTAAGAACACACCTGGCAGAGGACACACTATTGCCCAGGTCGGGCAAGCCTAGAGGGAAAGAAAGATCCTAATATGTTTCTGAATATGAACCAGCCTAGAAGTCTGCTGTGGTGGGGACAGGTGATGTCACGGAAGAGGTGGGCGTGGAGTCTCACAGATTCAAATTTGAATCCTTGCTTTCAAACCTATTAGCTTTATGATTTGGGAAAAATTATTTACTTCTTTCCAGCTGGGGTTTCTTCACTTATAAAATGACATTAATAATAAATCTGATTAGATTGTGAGCATGAAATGAGTCAGAGCATCTCAATGTCTAGCTGAAGGCTATTTACAGAAAGCCCAGCAGCCCAGGGTTGTACAGCGGTGCCTGAGATGCTGTGGCAGGCATAGGAGGCAGGGAGGTTTTCGGACTAGCTCCGAATCCCAGCTGTGACCAGGGCAGTTCTGCTTTTTATTCGT